TTGAAAAAAATATATATCATTAAATAATTAATTAGAAGGAAAAAATGAAGAAAAATATGAAATAATAAAATTAATTAATTAATAATAAAAGTAAAATTTAGGAATAAAATGATGAATTAAATTAACAATGAAAGGACAAAAATAAAGCAAGCAAAATTAAAAAAGAGCTTTATTGTTTTAAATTAGTTTTTATAATTAAACATATCACAATCCAAAACAAATAAACAGTTTTTACCAAAGATCAAGTGTCAAATTTGAGAGATTAATGCATTTAGCTAAACCAGAACCTAAGCCTGATGCATCTTCGTCACCAATTAAATTCTCACTTTTTAAATATTGAAAAAATATATATCAGTAAATAGTTAATTAGAAGGAAAAAATGAAGAAAAATATGAAATAATAAGATTAATTAATTAATAATAAAAGCAAAAGTTGAAAATAAATGAATGAGTAAAATTAACAAAGAAAGAACAAAAAAAAAGCAAGCAAAATTAAAAAAGAGCTTTATTGTTTTAAATTAGTTTTTATAATTAAAAATATCACAATCCAAAACAAATAAACTGTTTTTACGCAAGATTAAGTGTCAAATTTGAGAGATTAATGCATTTAGCTAAACCAGAACCTAAGCCTGATGCACCCATTGCCCCAATTGAATTTCTACTTTTTAAATATTGAAATCAAAAAATTTTAAATCTTATTTTTTTTCAAATAAAATGATCTGTTGATAGAATATAGGATATATATTATTTCAAATTTTACATTTTGTGAATTTAAAGCTTTCTAAAAACTCAAAAATAAAGCTATTTAAAGCTAATTTAGCTTTATTTATTATGTTATTAAGATATATTACATTTAGCCTTTTGTAAATTAAATAGGCATTTCACTCTAGTTAGTTTGAAGGAAAAAATGAAGAAAAAATATGAAATAATATGATTAATTAATAATAATAAAATTAACAAAGAATTAAAATAAAAAGAAAAAGGAAAATAAATCAAATAAATTAAATGAGCTTTAATGTTTTAAATTAACTTAAATAATTAAAAATAAAACAATCCAAAACTAATAAACTGCTTTTATTAAGGGGAAGTTTTAATAGCAAAAAATGAACAAAAAATATCAAATTATAAAAATGAATAATAAATAAATAAAAATTGAATAGATAATTAAGTTAAAATAGCTAAAAAATCTTTGCTTTAATAAAAATCAATGAATAATAGTGATAATTTCTATAATAAAAATTATTTATTTAAATAAATTAAAAGTTAAATTTATAAAAAATGTTAATAATAATAAAAATAAGATTTATAAATAAAATATACTCTAGATCAATATAGAGAACTTAATGAGATGAAAGTGAAGAGCTTAAAA